CGTGAGGATTAAAAAAAGTTTGAAGCTAACCGAACCCTCAAACTTAACTCTTCAAATAAACTAGACCCCACATGAAGTCTCTCTCCATCTTATTCTTTCTTCCTTCTTATTTCCGCAAGGCGAACAATGACTTCTAGGCGTAGATGATGTCCAAGAGGTAGCTAGGGCCTAGGATGGATGACCTACAAAATAATTTGATAGAGGCTCTGTGAACGTGACGTGTGTGTGCGAGGACGGAGTTGAGAAAATCGGCGAAATTCTTCATCCACGGGCGACCTTTTGGGTAATTCTTTGTTTGAATGTGTTCTTCCCCTTTTCGTCCTCATTTGACTCGATGTCGTGGTCCGGAACACACGGTTCACCGAAATAGGTGATGGTGCCTGTTGTCATGTAAGTGCTCCTCTGTAGAAGCTTTTCTCTAGGTCACTTTATGCAGGTTGTTGTGTACGTGTTGTTGTGGGTCTTTTGTTGTTCCGCCCATGGTCGGGGATGGAGGGGAGGAGCGTGGCCGTGCCCAAGAACGACGGGGAGGAGCTCAACAATGACCGGATGGGAAATGGAAGAAAAATTTCGCCGGAGGTTGGTGGGGTGGAACCATGATGATCTCGTGGCGATGAGGGGTTGCGTCAACGGTCTGGGCACTGGGCTGGAGCGGCGCGGCGGCGCGAATGGAATCGATAGGAGGCGTGGGCGCTTCTCTGAATCTTGTAATGAGAATGAGCCCTGGCTACTCAAATTAGGAAGAAGGAGCAATTCTTCTCAAAATTTTGAGGAGTTTAAGGTTTTGAAAGTTCTTCTCAAAGGAATTTCGAGGAATGAAATCGTTATTATTTATGTGTATAGGTTGTTTCATTCATATAATTGAATTCTATGAAATCATTTCCAAGGACACTTTTTGCATTACATTCTTTAGAAATTTAGCATCCTACTGAATTCTTAGGAAATCCCCTACGGATTCCGTGGCACTGCTAAATGCTGGCTAATTAAGCATGCGTCCTGCACTTGACTTGGGGACGAGGCGCAGTGGAACCAGCGGCGGCGTGACCAGCCCCGGCGTCTCAGCCATATCCAGACGCGTCCCGGCGGGGAGCTCCCAGTCGAAGTGGCGGACAAGGCTGGCGACCGCGATCTCCAGCACCGGCAGTGCGAAGTTTATGGCGGGGCAGATTCGCCGGCCGGCGCCGAATGGGAGGAGCTGGTAGTCGTTCCCCCTCACGTCCACGTCCGTCGCGCTGGCGCCGTCCAAGAACCGCTCTGGCCGGAACTCCTCCGCCGCGTCGCCCCACGCCGCGGGGTCCCTCGCGATTGCCCAAGCGTTGATGAAGAGCGCCGTCTTGGCGGGGATCTCGTAGCCCTGGACGACCGCCGCCGTCGTCGACTCGTGCGGGACGAGGAGCGGTGCCGGCGGGTGGAGCCGGAGCACCTCCTTCAGCACCGCCTTAAGGTACCCCATCATCCTCAGATCGTCTTCCTCGATGGTTGGCTTGCCGTTGGCGATTCGTGTTACCTCGTCCTGCAGCTTGGCCATTACCCGCGGGTTTCCGATGAGCTCCGCCATGACCCATTCCAGCGTGATAGATGACGTCTCAGTTCCGGCGAAGATCATGTCCTGCATATCAAGAAACGGCCATGGAGCAGAGGATCAAGGGAAACGACTTAAGTTAAAATTTGCTGAGAAATTTAAAGCGAATTCTTCGGCGATCACCTTGATGATGCTTTTGATGCGATTGTCGGTGAGCTCGAGCCCGGCGGTGCCTTCTTTCCTCAGCCGGAGCAAGACGTCCAAGAAGTCCTCCTCCCCTGCGCCGTTGTCACGCTTCTTCTCAAGGTGCTCGGCCATTATCTCGGATAAGAACTTGTCCCACGCTTCAACCTGGACGTCGATCCTCTTCTCCAGCCCCGTTGCCCACCTAACCATCTTTGCCGCCGCGCCAGGAAGCACGTCCTCCGCTTGGAGCCCCGACATGAACGCCGCGGAGTTCCCCATGAGCTCTTTCATCTTCTCCGCCGTGGCCCCCGCGGCGCTGGCGGCTGCGCGGGTCACCACCGAGTTGCTGTAGGCGTACAGAAGCTCCCTCAGCTCCACGACCTCACCCGCCTCCGCCGCGCGGCGGGCTGCTGCGACGAGGGTCGCCGCCTCGGCGGCGCGCACGGGGGCGAACGAGTCGGCGCGGCGCGGGGAGAGGAGGTGGATGACGGCCATCTTCTTGCTGCGGCGCCAGGCGTCGCCGTAAGGCGCGAACGAT